GCGGCACCACCTCATTGCCCTTGTTCTCGGACTGCACCACCTCCTTGCCCTTGTTCTCGGACTACACCACCTCCTCGGCCGTGTGCGGCACCATCTCCTTGCCCTTGTTATCAGACTGCACCACCTCCTCGGCCCTGTGCGGCACCACCTAATTGCCCTTGTTCTCGGACTGCACCACCGTCGATCCCAAACATGTTTTTTCCGGTTTGCTGGACGTTCTCCAAAACGGGTATTAGTTTTTTTATTGTTCCTTTTTTCTTAAATGCATGAACTTTTTTAAAATTCGTGAAATATTTTTGAAAATGATGATCTTTTTTCTTCAATTGATAAACTTTTTTTCTTCAAAATTTCATGATTTGTTTCTCAAATTTATCAACAATTTTCAAATTCATGGATTTTTAGAAGAATTGATTATTTTTTAAACCTATGATTATTTTTTGCAAATCCATGAACATGTTTTCAAAATCGATAAACATTTTCCAAAATAATCAAACCTTTTTCAAATCCATGAACTTTTTAAAATTTTGTGAACTTTTTATGAGAGGATAAACTTATTTTCAAAATTGATCATTTTTTCTCAATATCGATGAACTTATATTTAAAATCATTGAATTTTTTATTTTTCTGAACTTTTTAAAAACCCATGAACCTTTTTTTAAAAAATTGAAGAATTTTTCTCGATATTTTTGGAAAAAACAATATTGTTTTTTTCATTTAAAAGAAGTTTTTCAAATTTTTTTTGTGATCCATCAATCAGTCAACGGTTCAGTGGTAAGCTGTCAATCGGTCAAATATGAAATCCATCGATCGAGCAGTCGACGAGGAATGAGCACAACTATCGTTGCTGGGCTGGCCAACGGAGCTCGCGCGGCGCCACTACGGTAGCCGGCGCATAACGCGCTGATTAGGACCTCCCTAGGAGCTCCTATTATGATGGACCAAGGCGATGAAAAGCCATGAAACACACAACCACACGCCCTTCTGGGCCGGCCCATGCACGGGGAGGCACTCCTTTTTTTTGCTTTATCCTTTTCATTTTCTATTTTTAAAAATCCTGTTTTTTAAAATATTCAGAAACTTATAAAACATTCATGTATTTAAAAATGTTCCTTTTTTAAATTATCACTAAAATAAATAATGTTCGTGAATTCAAATGAGCGGTCATGAATTTCAAGAAATGTTTGCCGATTCAAAAAAGCTCACAAATTTATGAAAATAGTTCCAGGTCATCATCATGTAACAAGCTGTTGGTGCCGGCGACGAGCACAATCCACCCGGTGTTCCACGTCTCGCAAGTTGGCCGCGCCCTTCCTCGAACCGAGCAAGTTGTGGATGAACTCTCCACAGAAGCAGCGTAAAGACCTGAACCGGGTGAGGCACTCGACACCCAGACTCATCCTCGCGGCGGGATGGCGGTGACTCAAGTGCTGGTTCGGTGGACGGATCGCCAAGACCTTTTTTTTGAGGGGACCACCAAGAGCTACTACGTTACGGTGCAAACCGGCGCCTGCAGCCGCGATAGTTGGGCCGGCCATGTATCTCCCTTTTTTCCTGTTTGAAGCTCAATAAAAAGGCGCGGCCGCGGGAGATCGAACTAGCGATGTATTCCCTCTAGAGCGAACGACTGCAAGCACAACGCCATCGATCAACCAGTGATTGCTGAATAGTTTCCATTCATTTATTGTTTCTTAAGTCGTGGAGGCCACCGATTTTGGGAAGCTCCTAGAAGCTTCCAAAGCCGGGTTTTTCCCAGTTCCCTGGACATTTCCGGCACGGTTCTATTCAGGTTTTCTTTTTATTTTTTATCGTTTTACTAAATGCGTGATTATTTCTCTTTATATTCTTTTTTATACGGATTTTCTTTCTTTTGTATTCCAGATTTTCAAGTTTATGAAGTATTTTTCAAATGGGATGAACTTTTTCCAAACTCAATGAACTTTTTTCCAAACTCGATGATTTTTTTATGAACTTTTTTTCAAAATCGATGAACATTTTCGAAAAAATCGATGAACCTTTTTTTAGAGATTTGTTTTTCAAATGGATGAACCTATTTCTTTAAGTCTGTAAACCATTTTCGATATTGCATTTTTATTTCGTAAGAAATGAAAAAAGTGGCAGTTTTTTCCTACCGGATTAACAGCAAAAAAAAGGGAACAGAAAAAAACCGGGCTGCCAGCGAGCGGCCGAACTCAGCAGTAGCGAGCGTTGTTTTTTTCCCGAGCGAGCAAGCGCGCTCGTGGGCCGGCCCATCCGAGCGCCTAAAGCGCAGAGCCAGTCAAGGCCCTGGAGGAACGTGCCCGGGCTGTGAGGCAACGGCAGCCGATATCCATCCAGCCCACGGCCGGGTCACAGGACAAGCGCAGCTTCTCCTCTCTCACATTTCCCCGACGACCCCCGATGACATCGCCGGCGCCGGCGGCGTCGGGCGGGCGGGAGGGCGACGGGATGCTGATCACGCCGCTCGGCGGCGGCAGCGAGGTGGGCCGCTCCTGCGTCCACCTGAGCTTCAAGGGGCGCAAAGTCCTAGTAAGCATCCCCGAAACCCTAGCTTCCCCTTGTCCGCTCCTCTGCTCCCGCTTGTCCGGGGAATCTGACCCACTCCGTGCTCTCCAGTTCGACTGCGGCATCCACCCGGCATACCTCGGCATGGCGTCGCTGCCCTTCTTCGACGAGATCGACCCCGCCGCCGTCGACGTCCTCCTCATCACGCAGTAACCAACCAACAAATCTCGCCCTTTCTTGATCCCCGCCTGTCCTTCCTTCTTCCCGTTATGCTGCTATCGCCTAGCACCTAGACACGCTAAGTTTTTCTTATCATTGATTCTTCTGCATAGTCAACAAATTTATATGTCAAATGGACCATTGGTTAAATTTAACAACCCCATGTTATATGGCCATTTCTTTCCAAATACCATGATCCTGCTTATGAGGATTAAAAACTGATTATGATACAGGATTCTGCTTGTGAGGATTAAGAAACCATGTCAAATGGACCATTGGTTAAATTTAAGAACCCCATGTTATACAGCTAATACAGGATTCTGCTTGTGAGGATTAAGATATGTTAATTTATCACAGGAGGATGCACACTCCTAACATATAAGTACTTATCATGCAGGTCATAGACTTCCACCAGACGTTGCAAGTTAATGGCATACGCTTCTGGTGCTATACTGCAGGCCATGTACTTGGAGCTGCCATGTTCATGGTGGATATTGCTGGCGTTCGCATTCTTTACACTGGTGACTACTCCCGTGAAGAAGACAGGCACCTGAAAGCTGCTGAGATCCCCCAGTTCTCCCCTGATATTTGCATTATCGAGTCAACTTACGGTGTGCAGCGACACCAACCCCGCCATGTCAGAGAGAAGCGCTTCACTGATGCCATCCACAACACTGTTTCTCAAGGGGGCCGTGTTCTTATCCCGGCATTTGCTCTTGGTAGAGCACAGGAGCTGCTGCTTATCCTAGATGAGTATTGGTCCAACCACCCAGAGCTCCATAAGATTCCAATCTATTACGCCTCCCCTCTTGCGAAGAATTGTATGGCTGTCTACCAGACATACATAAACTCCATGAATGATAGGATCCGCAACCAGTTTGCACGGTCCAATCCCTTCCATTTCAAGCATATTGACCCTTTGAATAGCACTAGGAAACATGCCCGTGCATTGCAACGGGGATAAACAATAAATTTGTCAACATACATACCCTTGAAGATCATCCATAACGTCCCTGCAAAAAAGATCGTCCATAACGAAAGACACATAACTGTGGGGGCTATGAATAATCTTCACTGAAAATATTAAAGGATGCAGTTTGAATGCTTTTGACAACCGTGGCATCTAACTAAAATTTCAGAGTTGTAGAAGTAGGGACAGACCAAGGACAAAAATATTTGAGAAACAAAAATAACATTAGGTAACGCCAAACCTTCCAAAAGTCTTCTTAATCTTACAATCGGAGGTGCAGGATGACAAAAAAAGATCTTATAGATGACCCATCGAACATGCAGTGACGGATGCGTAGCGCTGACGCCAATAAAAAAAATCTGATAGAGGTTGTAAAGATGAAAGGTTTGTAAATGACACAATGGAAGATAAGAATGCAGATACTTATGTTGTTGCCGTTCATCTGTATATTGACAATGGGTAATCGCAAGATGAAATGTCTGTAAAAAGGGTTCATCTGTATCTGAAGATGAAATGTTGGATATTGACAATGAGCAATCACAAGAAATCTAGGCATCTGGTGTCATGGAGTGTGATACTGATTATTCCTCTTGCAACGCAGAAATATAGAGAAGATGAATCAAAACATTTTAGAGATAAAAATTCTCACCATTCATCTTCGCACTCCCATATAAGTTTAAGGCATTCCAGGGGGAAACACCATCGGGGTGGTACTGACAAGAACGAATCAAAGAAATCAGTATAGGGGTGCTAGAGCTAGGAAATACAATTATTCTCTTGATGATCCCTTGTCTTCAGATAAAAAGAAAGTTTGTAAGGAGAGCTCTGCTGATAGGATGATTATAATTAGTCAGAAACTGGTTCAGATTGTGATGGCTTCAAGCATGACACTGAATTTAGGCTATGAAATGCTTCATTAGAAGAATCAGATCTACTTATCCATGAAGACCAGCAATTTTGCCGATGAAACTGGTAGAGATAAATTCCTATTAGATGCTGCACCTACACCAAAGTAGAAAGGCTAGGAAGATATTTGCTCTGTTGTGTCCGACTTTAATGGGCAATATGGACCTGAAGGAGTTGGCACTTTAGGGGGCACTGAACAGTCTGCCTACGATATTAACCACAGTGTTTATGTGAGCTGCCACATCGTTCAGTTGGCTGGTTGCAGAGGCTACTCATAGAATGGATGCATATCTCCTCTCGATTTTGGAGTTTTGTTTGCAAAATATGAAGATCTTTGGAGAGCTTTAGTGCTGACCAAATGTAAATCTGATCTATAAAAATGTGTTTAGAAATCTTGTGCTCCAAAAAATTTGTTTAGAAAGCTGAAAATCAATTTACCAATCAAACAACTTTTACTATTTCAGTGGTTCAAAATGAATGGTGTTATAGATACACCATATGCTCAGGCACATCAAGCATATATGACCCTTTGGGGATTGTAGTTCTCGATCTAGTTCAATAAGATCATATATGTGGTGATAAGAAGTCCCCAAAAGAGATTGTTGGGCCTCTTTTTGAGAGATAACCAAACATCCATAAGGCAAATAGGTAAAAAGTAACGGTTGAAAATAATGCAGAATAATATTCTGTAGTTTAATATACAAAGAAAAATACAAAGATCATTATGATAGACATGGGAATGGTTTACAGATTTCTCTATTGGTTCTCAGAAAGTCACTACCTAGCTCAGAAAGTCATTTTACTTCCGAGAGCAGTCATTTTACTTCTGAGAACATCATCGATTTAATCTTTATTTTCTCAAGTGAATAACAATTCCTTACTGTCACCAACTACACAATAGGAAATGTGAATAAAAGGCTGTAGTAAGATTTAAGCGAGAATAACTCCAGGGAAGTTCCACCCCGACTCTCAAATGGCCTGATGTTGTCGTTATTATTGGCGTACTTCACATAATGATCACGCATCAGGTAAAAAAGATCTGCCAGCACAGAGTTCAAAACTATGCTAGTCTTATACTTCTGATTTTTAGTTTGTATGTCACGTACTTCTGACTCGAAAAAAAGTCAGTATGTCACGTACTCTGTGCACACCTTGCTCCTTGGCCCCCTGTCAATTGTAAAAAGAGGCAATTTATCAAAATCTTACAGTCTTTTAGTACATTCTAAACCTCTAAGGTTCCTCAGTTTCACCTCTGAACGTGATATTAGTACGCTCAGTTTAAGTTTTATTTGCTTGCTTGTGTATATGTGCATGTATACTGAGAGAGAGGGAGAGATTATTCTGTTCTAGCAGTCGTATTTCTGTGACAAATCTACTCCCCTCCACTCCATTTTTGATTGCCTGAAATCAATTGCAAATTGGGAGCAGCAGAGCAAATGTGAAAAAGTTCAGATTGCCTGAAATCAATTGCAAATTGGGAGCAGCAGAGCAAATGTGAAAAAGTTCAGTGCATGTTTTTGAGATTCAGAGGACGTGTAAGATGGGAGATGGCTTCCCATGTTTTGTAACTATGATTAGATGGATCATGCAGAACAGAAAGGCAAAATTATCAAGTTCATTACCCTGTTTAGAACAGAAAAACTTAATTGGGATGTACCTTATGCTGATATATAAAAGTTCAGTACCCTGTTCCTCCTTTCCAAATCTACCAGACTGCTTAATTTACAAACAAAGAAACTTGTGCTGCTTGCCATAATTTGTTTACATGTAACATCAACAGTATATACATGTAGTTGCCTCCAAAGTTGACCATATGAGCTTTCAAATTTAAGAACAAAGTTGACCATATGAGCTTTCAAATGAAAGCTTTCATGAACAATATATACATGTAGTTGCGTCCAAAATTCCGCATCACTGAATTCAGAGGTTGCTAGCTGATGCCGCTGCACTGGGTAGCTGCTCCCTCGTGCGCGCACGCAGCCGTCAGCTCGAACGCGAGCTGCTCGGGCGCTCCCCCGGACGCGCGCAACCGGCGGCTCCCTCGGATCCAACAGCGGTCGCGAGGCGACACGAGCAGCCCAGGACGCACGCAGGCACCGGCGGATCGGAGAGGCGAGCAGCAGCACGCCCCAGCGGCAGCAGCATCATGCCCAGGACAGGGGTGCACGGCAGGCGCGGCGCGGCGCGGCTGCAGTTCAGGGGCGGTAGCATTTCTCGGCCGCATCCATGTGCGGCCGCCGTGGCGTCCTCCTACTCGCGCGGCTGGTCCATGGTCGTCGGCGCACGGCAGGGCAGGGGCGGCAGCAGTTCTAGGCCGCATCCGTGGCTGACGGTGCCCGGCAGGGCGGGGGCGGCAGGGCGGCGTGCTCCTACTCGGGTGGCCGATGCGGGCGAGGGAAGAGAGGAATCGGGAGAGGAGCTCACGGGCGGCGCAACTCGTCTCCTCGGTGGCCAAGGGGCTCGCCGGGTCAGTGCGAAGGCCGGCTGCAGGGAGAATTGGTAGGGGCGGCGAGGGGATCCGTTCCCGTGAGCGGAAGCCCGGGGAAGGCACCGGAGTTGGCCGGAATCGGGCGGTCAATGGAAGGTTGCCGTCGCCGTTGAAGCGAGGGGATCGAAGGTCGGGGAGGCCCGACGTCTAGGATCCAGGACCAGCGCGGACGCAGCGGTGGTGCCCCCAATCTCAGGCGCACCACTGCAGGGCGGAGGGCCAGGCGGCGGGAGGAATGGCGGGGAGGGTGTGCGTGAGTCATGCGCCGCCGCGGCTGGAGTTGAGCGTCTGGATAAGATAGAGGAAAGGAGCTCAGGTTGAAATCTAATAAATCCAGGGGTTAATGTAAAACCGAATCGTTTTTTAGATATCACTTAAAGAGAGACTGCGGGTACAATTTCCAGAAAACAGGAGGTTTTTTTTTTGTAAAATGCCTGGTTTATTATTAGGGAAAGATAGACAACTTCCATGATGTTGGTCCGTCAGTGGTGATGGCAAGTCCAGGTAGCCTCCAAAGTGGCCTCTCCACGCAGCTCTTTGCCGCCGCTTTCACCAACCTCTGTTCTGCCGCTGTCACCCAGGTCCAAGAGGAATGAAGTTCAGTCGGCCACGCTGCTGCCAAGGGAGCCAAGTGGGGCGCTGCTACAGCTCTGTGCGCCCACGACGATGCTACTGCCTGTGCCGTCCCCGTCCAGGCCCCCTGGGTTCGAGGCCTCGCCAATGCCGCCACTGCCGTCCAGCGGGCCGGTGCGCCGCACCCCTTCGCCCGTGCGGCGCCGTAGGGTCGATGCTTCTGGTGCTGTTGGCCTGCAGTGCCTTGCGCCGTTGTTTGAAGATAGGCAGGAGGCCATCCTGCCCACCCCGGCTCCAACACCGCCTCGGGCTCTTACGACGCGCCGCAAAACAATGGCCGGAGTCTCCATCTCCGGGGTCGGCGGCACCTTCTTGCTGCACAAGACAAAGACGGCAAGCCGCCCCAAGGCCACGCCCATGGCTAGCGCGGCAGAAATCCTGGTCTGTCGCTCTCTCGGCATCGTCAAGGATGGAGAGGACGTCACCACCGCAGCCTTGGACGCCTTCGCGGACCGCTTCAAGGAGCATTTGTCGGCGGAGGTGCTCACAACCATGAGAGGCCTGTTTAAGCTAGACGACGCCAATGCAGATGCTGTGGAGGAAGCCCTCCTGGCGCATGGAGGAGGAGGCGCGCTGGACCTGGAGAGGGCCGACGAGGAGGCCGTGCTGCAGTAGGCAGCGTCCTGAGCCGCTACTCATAATCTGGGTTGTTAGTTGCTATGTTAGTACAACTATTTGCATGTTGCCGGATGGTTAGGTGCTGGGTCAAGTTTCAGCTTGGTAGCAAAGTGTGTGGGCGTGCTGTATATGCACCATGTATCAGGTTATCTATGCAACCATGGGTGTTGGTTGTCGCATATGTGTGCACACAAATTGTTGTTCTCGCTGCCAGTTCAGATGCTGCCATGTTTCTTCTTGCCTATGTTCAGTGGCTATGCTCCAGGGTCCTCGCTGTTAATTTATGTCATCACAACCAGTAAACTTTCTGAGCTGGAACGTCCGGGGCCTTAACTGTCCGAACCGGCGG